TATAAAAAAGAAGAGAAGAGAGAATGCAGAAAACGTTTTTGGTTGTAATGTGGATTTATTTAGAAAAAATATTATGCTTTGTTTTACATAATTTTACGACACGTTTCTGGTCTCGCGACCGTCTTCAGGTAAAAGCGGAGATTTCCACATATTATTAAAAAAAATAATTAATTTTTCCTTATGTTCAATGTTAAATATTCTCGATATGAGACATTCTCTGTTTGTGCGTTGGTAATCCGAATTTCTTTCTTGAATTGGCAATGAAATGTTCTGCGCGAAGGGTCATAAAACAATTAAGGTTGGTCCAGAATGGACAAAGTCCGACAATTTTAAGACATTTTTATCTTTACACATTCTTTTTATAGATACAAATATTTAAGTAAATGCTCTGTTTTATAATAAACAGTATTGAACAACATTTACCGGCCTGAATCGAACCTGTATCCTACACGCAACCGTCATATAACCTGACGTCCTTCAACTGTTTCACCAACAGAGGAGCGTTCGGTTAGCAAGGTCGAGTTTACTGCCTTTAAAAGTTAATCTTCTATGAATCTCTCAAGTACATTCATATCTGCTCATGGCATATCAAATGTAAGCAAATGACGTCACACATTATGAAATGGACAAAGTCCGACAATTATTTTAAGACATTTTTATGTTTATACATTCTGTTTATAGAAACAGATATTTCAGTAAATGCTCTGCTTTATAATAAACAGTATTTATAACATTTACTGGCCTGAATGTCCGAGAAATTTTCATGGAATCGAACCTGTATCCTATACGGAACCGTCATTTAGTCTGAGGTGCTCTTAACCTATCGAGCCACAGAGGATCGTTCGGTTAGCAAGGTCGAATTTACTGCCTTTAAATTTCAATCTTCCATGATTCTCTCACGTACATTCATATCTGCTCAACGCGCATCGAAATGTAAACAAATGACGTCATACATTATGAAATGGACAAAGTCCGGCAATTATTTTAAGACATAAGTTTGTTATTAAACAGAGCATTTACTTAAATATTTTTATCTATAAAAAGAATGTATAAACAAACACACACACACACACACATATATATATATATATATATATATAATATTAGTGGCAAATATACATACATATGCAAAATATATAAATACCCATACATGTATATTTTTTTAAAGATTCCAAGAGGAAGAATCCAGGTAGAACTCAATGTCCAGGACAGAGTAAGGATATAATAAAAAAGGCTTAAACACTAATGTATGTGTATGTGTGTGTATATATATATATATATATATATATATATATATATATATATATATATATATATATGTGTGCATGTGTATGTATGTATATGTATGTGAAATGTGTGTGTATATGGATATAGATGAATATGTGTATGTGGATATGTGAATATATTTTATATTTTTTATTTTATATGTGTGTACATTGGGTATATGTATGTGTGTATGTGGGTACACGCGTATGTGTATGTATATACGTGTTTATGTTATTGTGCATATGTGTATATTTATTTTTATATGTTTATATTTGATTTGTAACCTGTTCGATATTAAATTTGTCAAATTTTTCAATTACAAACTTTCGCAATTTTCGCCCTTCTCTCTCCCCCCACCTCGTCTTTTTTTCCCCCTCTTATTCTAACATTAGATTGTCTATGGTGTGTGTATGCCACCACGAAATGTATCTTTATGCATTAGACATCCGACAACATTCATTTTTCCGTTACTTAAACCCCTTCCATCCACCTCTCTAAAAATTCTCTCTTTAAGGTTTAATCTCCCTCCTCCTCATTTTACACTTTCTCTAAATTCTGTTTTCATTTCGGAGTTGTTTTTCTGTTTTCTTTTTTGAATTTGTAGGTCTGATGAATTGGATCGTATTTACGATTCCAATGGAATAAATTATGACCATCGAATATTAGTGTTTAAGTTTTTTATTATATATATATATATATATATATATATATATATATATATATATATATATTTACCGTTAACAATAATTTTTTTTTTTAAAATCCAGACGACATCCATTCAACTGATGTCAGGTTTCATTGTAAAATACATCCCTACCCCTTACCAAATTGTAGCTAATAACTGATACAATGATACTGACATAAGGAAAATCTAGACATCCCTTGTTCAATTTAAGTAGAATATTCTGTAACCATGGAAACGTGACTTTAGCTGTGTCTTTAAAACCCGGTAATTTTAAAAGTTACTCCAAAATTGCTTGAAGATGAAATGGAACTAATGCTTTTAATGTAATTGCAAAATTAAATTCGGGGTTTTTAGCTTCTATTTTTGAAACATGGTTGGAACTGTGTAGCGAAAAAAAATATTTTAAATCAATTAATTTCTAATATTAATGCTCTGTAAATTTACATTGAGCACTATTTTGTAAAAAATAAAATATCTATAAGAACACCAAGTTTTTATATCTTACTTTTTTTATTACATATATTTTATTATATATATATACATATATATATATATGTGTGTGTGTGTGTGTGTCCAACGTCGATAGTACGACCTCGAACCTTCGTGTAGGTTATGCAATCTTCCGCAAAAAGAAATCCAAGGGTGTTAAATTTGGTGATCTAGGGGGGTATACAATTGTCCCTCTACTTCCAATCCATCTGTTTTGCATATTTACATCCATATAAGTTCTCAAATCACGGTAATGTATTATTAACTATAAATATTTAAAGAGTGTATGCATTATTTTGGACACTATATATATATATATATATATATATATATATAATCTTAAGGCATTATTAAGGAGATAGAACAATAAAAGAACAAGAGGTAAGAAGACCGAACATAACGATTGACATTGCATTTAAAATTTTTGAAGATTAAAGTTGACTGGGAAGCATGAAACCGGAAGAGAGTTCCACAAGCGAGAAGTGCAAGAGAAGAAACTGTTAGCATAGAACTTACGGCTATATCTAGCTAGCTCAACTGTAAAATGAGAGACCTTGCCGCCAATCTAGTACTGCACTTAAAATTTAGGTGCCATACTGGAAAAGTCATTAGAACAATTACTATGAAAGTATTTACAGAAAAGTCAGAACGAAGCTACGTTACGGCGGTTGGAAAGAGACTGAAGCCGAGATGCCAGGTCAGGAGCAATAATATTGTGGATTCTTATTTGGATTTTATCAAGGATATCTACATATATAGCAAGGTTAAAAAATAGATGTTATTATTACTTAAAGAGACAACAGCCATCCAAAATGCGACTCTTAGATACAAAGATAAGAACTCCAATATAATCCAAAAATGCATCTCACGTACATGCATCAAAGTATGCGATATGGTGAGAAATTCTGCCGGTGGGACTGAGTTGGAAATACATTTAGATCAAGTAATGCATTCAGCTAAGATTATCTCCGGTTGAGGGCGTTCCCAAATACCTCGATGTGTCTCCCAACTCGTATTATACACGGCATATAAAATTATCGTATGGATTGCTGGCCCTGGATACGCCGTTCACCAAACTATATATCCACTTAAAAAAGTACAGTTGTATTTAAAATAAACATGATTTTAATAAAGCTGATGTTTTATTAAACTGTATCCAATAATAATGCATGTAATATTCACATATTAATATCGTATTATAAAATACAAACATGGCGAATATGCATCTTTTCCATTGTTTATGTTTCTAAGATGTTTAGCTGTTTCTCGTTCGGTTGTTTATGGCTGGACGCGTTTACGCAACGAGTATAGGGTTACTAACGATACTTTTCATCATTAGTCTATTGCATTTTGAATTTATTTAACTAGAAGAGATAGAGGAAAAGATACAGGATAAAATAATTTTGTAATATGTGAGAATTTTTTTTGGTGGGAGGAGGTCTATACACGAGATCGCGCATCACATAAGAATATACGGTATTTCTCCCGATGAACGGAGATGCAATGCCAAACTGGTTACATTCAAGAAACTGACAAGCACATTTCTAGCAGAAGAACAGGTTATTTACTGTAGCGCATCTTAATTCAGCAAAGTGAAAACACACATTTAAGGTCCGTGAGAGCCATACATGTCGCATCAGGGCATTAATTTATTATTATTTTTAATCTTCACCTCATGTAAGGCAGTAAAGCCACTAAGACACAAGTGGTTACTAGGTGTTGATGAATTAGTAACAGAGACATTAATAAGGAGCGGGACGAGGAGGACAAAAAAGCATTGAGCTGGAAGAGAGTTCTACAAGTAAGGCAGTAAAGCCACTAAGATACAAAGGGTCACTAGGTGTGGGAGAGATAGAAACAGAAACATTTCTAAGGAACAAGAACAATAGCAGATTAATCGATTGACATTGCGTTTAAATTTTTGATGATCAAATTTAGCTGGAAAGCATAGAACCGAAAGAGTGTTCCACAAGTGAGAGAAGAAACTCTTAGCATAGAATTTACGGTTACATCTAGCCACCTCTACTTTAAATTGACAAGATCTCGACGCCAATCTAGTGGTGCACTTAAATTCAAAAAGTCTAATCACCTTAGCGAAGAGCGATATTTATTCTGCATTATGTACAGAAATGTGGCACAATGCCAAAATGGGGAAAAGGCTGTTCTTCGTCTCGCTTAACATTAAACTTAGCTTGCCACGATCACTGATCCAAACATACAATATTCCTTACACCAAAACAAAGCATTCTTACTTAATATTCTTCAACATCCACTATAATACCTTCCCGCGAATCAACTCCCAGTTTTAACTTGTTCAAGTCTAGGCTCAAATTTTATCCTACCGATATATTCGCATGAACTGTGCCTCTGTAATCCTCTACCTCGAGTAGCTCTCGGGCCTTAAACAGGATAAATATCATCGTAAGAAATACCCTCTTTTGATTTACGGTACTTATTCTCATATCTATGATTCATCCATGGCTTCCAGTTCTGTTTTTCAAAAGAATTGTCCTTTTTTTTTTAACCTTTCTTTTAATTCGACAATATTCTTCAATTCTAGGTCCACAAAATGACTGCTTGGTGGCTCGCCATAATTTCGGTGATTTCCTTCTGGACATTATCTGTGCCAGTGTCAGGAAACAGTAAGTAGAATTATGGATTTGGTTCTAATATTTTAAAATACTGGAATTTTGGTAAACATATGGACCATCGTGCCAGCGGTTTTTCCCTTGACACCGCTATTATTTTAACTACCTTCACTCCTCAGCAATGTTTATTCTTTTTTAAAAAAAGCGATGATTAGAATTGTAATAAAACATAAAAAATTGATGAAAATGAATTTGTCCATTTTCTTTGTTCTTCAGGATTTATAACAAAAATAATAAACTATTTATTATATTGTTTATTGGAATGGTTGACAAAACATTAGTAACTGCCAATCGATTTGAACTTTATAAAATGGTAAACAATAAAGATTTCTTTATAGTTAGTTCAGATATTTTAATAATTTAGTAAATGTTTATAAATTTATGAATAAACAATTGTCTTCATATTTATTTCTTTATAAATTGGTAAATGATAAATATTGCATTGCCTTAGTTCTAAATGTATTAGTTTTTAGAATTCAAATATAAAGTTCTGTTCGTTTAAGGAAAGCCATGCCTGAAACAAGAGTTATGTGGCTTCCCTCTGTCTTTTTTAGAAATATTTTCATCAAAAATGCCATTTGTATTTATTTCTTTATAAGCTGGTAAATAATAAATATTGTGTTGCATTAATTTTTTTGTATTATATTTTAGAATATTTTGAAATTATTCTGAAAATATTCTTCTAAATAAAGAATTTCTTAAATGAATATTTTTGCATCTTTTTGCGGGCGCGTTTATCCATATTTGCCAGAGAAGCTTCAGTGGATCCAGTCAGGTGGGAAACAGATGTGTCCTACGGTACAATAGCCTAATCCAGGGGGTCATCTAACTACGGCCACGGGCTCGATCCTCTCGCGAATCATTCGGTCCACCGCCGCTCTGTGCCACAAATGAGCTAAAATATAATCATTTATATGGAATTAGCAATAGATTTTAGTTAAACTTACCATGTAGAAAAAAATTAAAAGAAATATAAGTAAAAATACCAAAATTTGGCTAATCTGATTTTTGCATCTGTCAGTCATATAAGTTTTAGGGAAATCAGTGAAATAAAGAATTCGGTAAATTTTTGAGACTTTTGATATCTGGGCGTTTTTGTGTAAGCCCCTGCGCTGAAGTTGCTCAGAAAAGTGATTACGACCCTGCTACAGCGATCGTGTTTTAACTTACATTGCTGTGTTTAAACCGGTTTAAAAAGTGCCGAATATAAAAAAAGGACTGAATTCCGTGAATTACGCCATATATTTTGCCTGTTATAAAATCTACAGCAAGTAAAGTCAACACATGTATCGAGGTTGACTGATGAACATTTGAAAGCAATTCTCTTGGTTGGATGCAGCAATTCCAAAGCAAATATTGTTTATATCTTAAAAGGTAAACGCCAGTTTCATAATTGTCACTAACCTTTTTTTTGCTGCTTAGTTTGTGAGATTCAAATAGGTACGCAATAAGTATTTTAATGCTAATATCATCTTCGCTGATGAACTTTTGGTAAATAAATATGTTTGTTGTCTTTATTTCTTGCGTATTCAGTGTATTGTATTGAAGAAAATCTTTATCCGACACTGAATCTAATTTGAATACATTTATCTGCGCCTCTGTAAAATCATTCAAAAAAAAAGTAGATTACCTCTGGCCTAATGGATTAAAATGGCGAAAATTTCTTTGAAATAAAATTTTGAGTTCAATCCCTGTGTCGGGCAGTGGAAAATAACTGGTCATGAATATTTCCCCGATAACCATAATCTTCAAATATTCAAATGTAATATCAATCGACATCTTCTAATGCACTGATCCTGATCCCAGTCCTCCTCTTTTATTATTTTTTTCAAACAAATTCAGGTAGTAGGAAGACGAAAAGATTAAATCCCTCTGTAACCCTTTTTTTAGAAATGTTTTATTTTTTTGCTCTCACTCTAAAACCCCCCTACTGAACTGTTTTTTATTCTCCTGAAATCACTCTCTGTAACCCTCCTCACAGATGAAAGAAGAGACTTTACTGAACTGTTATGTAATATCAGTCCTCCTATCTGTGGACCAGATGAAGAAGAGACTTGAAGCAAGAGAAACAAAGAAAAGATTACTGAACTGGTATCAGTCCTCCTATATGGCCTGGACAATTGGATGAGATGAAGAAATGACTTGAAAAAAAATTAATATACCGAAATATTCTCCTGAACGCGAGATCTTGTATTATCCTCCTATATGGCAGTGAATGTTGGACAATTTTGACAGATGAAGAAAGAGAGAAGCAAGAGAAACAAAGAAAAGTTTACTGAACTGTTATGTTTTAACAGTCCTCCTATTTGGCAGGAAATGCTAAACAGTCTTCTCAAAGATAAAGAAGAAATTTGAAGCAAGAAATACCAAGAAAAGTGTACTGAACTGTTATGTAATATCAGACCTCCTATATGGCAGTGAATGCTAGACAATCTCCTCACAGATGAAGAAGAGACTTGAAGCAAGAGAAACAAAGAAAAGATTACTGAACTGTTATGTAATATCAGTCCTCCTATATGGCAGTGAATGCTGGACAATCTCCTCACAGATGAAGAAGAGACTTGAAGCAAGAGAAACAAAGAAAAGTGTACTGAACTGTTATGTAATATCAGTCCTCCTATATGGCAGTGAAGACTGGACAATCTCCTCACAGATGAAGAAAAGACTTGAAGCAAGAGACACAAAGAAAAGTGTACTGAACTGTTATGTAATATCAGTCCTCCTATATGGCAATGAATGCTGGACAATCTCCTCACAGATGAGGAAGAGACTTGAAGCAAGAGAAACAAAGAAAAGTGTACTGAACTGTTATGTATTATCAGTCCTCCTATATGGCAATGAATGCTGGACAATCTCCTCACAGATGAAGAAAGACTTGAAGCAAGAGAAACAAAGAAAAGTGTACTGAACTGTTATGTAATATCAGTCCTCCTATATGGCAGTGAATGCTGGACAATCTCCTCACAGATGAGGAAGAGACTTGAAGCAAGAGAAACAAAGAAAAGTGTACTGAACTGTTATGTATTATCAGTCCTCCTATATGGCAGTGAAGACTGGACAATCTCCTCACAGATGAGGAAGAGACTTGAAGCAATAGAAACAAAGAAAAGTGTACTGAACTGTTATGTATTATCAGTCCTCCTATATGGCAGTGAAGACTGGACAATCTCCTCACAGATGAGGAAGAGACTTGAAGCAAGAGAAACAAAGAAAAGTGTACTGAACTGTTATGTAATATCAGTCCTCCTATATGGCAGTGAATGCTGGACAATCTCCTCACAGATGAGGAAGAGACTTGAAGCAAGAGAAACAAAGAAAAGTGTACTGAACTGTTATGTAATATCAGTCCTCCTATATGGCAGTGAATGCTGGACAATCTCCTCACAGATGAGGAAGAGACTTGAAGCAAGAGAAACAATGAAAAGTGTACTGAACTGTTATGTATTATCAGTCCTCCTATATGGCAGTGAAGACTGGACAATCTCCTCACAGATGAAGAAAAGACTTGAAGCAAGAGAAACAAAGAAAAGTGTACTGAACTGTTATGTAATATCAGTCCTCCTATATGGCAGTGAATGCTGGACAATCTCCTCACAGATGAGGAAGAGACTTGAAGCAAGAGAAACAAAGAAAAGTGTACTGAACTGTTATGTAATATCAGTCCTCCTATATGGCAGTGAATGCTGGACAATCTCCTCACAGATGAGGAAGAGACTTGAAGCAAGAGAAACAAAGAAAAGAGTACTGAACTCTTATGTAAATGACGAATAACTCTAAGTGAAATATGGTTCTATAGAAGGATGCTGAAAGTCCTATGACCTGAAATGTTGAGCTACGACGAAGTTTTAGAGAAAATGGTAATGACTACTATATTTTAGACGATGTCTTTTTAGATGACGACGACTTCCAACGAGATGTACAATAATTTTTCTTGCATCTTTTATCTTTTTTTGTTTGTTTTGTTTTTCAGTGGAAAATAAACTTATCAACGACTTGTTAAAATGTATTCGAAAAATGCCCGGCCTTTAAAAAACAGCAGTGCAATTCTAGATATCTCTTTGGACGAGATGCCTCTTGCAAGCGAGATTAACGAGCAAAATCATATCTTGACTGCAATTGCCTACGAATCACTGGTAGGTCACTTTCACACATCTTTTAACATTTTATTTATTTTCACTACTATCTGGAGCCTCGTATGTATTGATGTTGTATTTTTGTTGGATTTGATGCAGGAAATAATTTTGAAAAGAACTCATGTTTCAAAAGAAATGTTAGCAAAACGAATCGTCCGCTCGTAAAACAGAGGAATTTTTTATGGTGGCGGGTGGAATATTTTATGGTAAATTTTCATTTTAACACCCCAGCGTCATTCACTGCTGAACTATTTTCTTTTTGAAATCAATACGCGCTTCCGTAAAGCGATTTTTTGTACTTTGTATAAAAGCATAACAAAAAAAAAAAACCAAAAAAAAAACCCCACCTAGCCCTAATTTGAAAGTTAACTACAAGGAATTACTGTGAAGGAAGAAAATAGGCCCAAATTGTATACGTCCACCAACAAAATTCAGCACTGAATTACTTATCAATAAGCCAGTAATGGCTGACGAAAGACCAGGAAAAAGTCCGATTTTTTTCGGATCGTTAACATCCACAAAGGCAGGTTTCTTAAATATCTAATTGTTGATTTGAGTTCAGCATATACATTTGCACGGAAATAAGACTATTTTGGAAAAATTTGAAGGCATATTAGCGTTCGTGTATTAAAATGAAAATTTACCTATTTTTTTTAGGTTAAAATTCATTAAATTTTCCTATCACGACATTTGTCAGAATCGGAAAATATTGAATTTTTAAAAACTCTATTTCGAAAAGTGATCCTGTTCACATGTAACAATAATATTGAACGTTTCCCTATAAGGAAACAATCGACATACATTGACAGATCAGCCAGTGTTAATCTTAGATGAAATAAGCTATAAGTAAAAAGTTTGAAGCCAGTCAGCATTTTTTAAAAAAAACTTAAAATGAGATAGTTTTTTACTTTTTTTCTTTAAAATAAAAGATAAATTTTCAGTAACTACCCTGGACATTGATACCTCGGCTTAAGTCGTTTCGATTTAAGTCATTTTCGAAGATACGTCGGTTTTTCTTACATTTTATATGTAAAAATAAAACTCGCTTTACGTCGTTTTACTTGAGATTACGTCGGCCGTTAAAAATATTAGAAACATGAAAACACTAAAATAACAATAAACACATATAAAGGCATATTTAAATAAATTTTAAAATTAATATTATTTGTAATCTATATATCTATCTATCTATCTATCTATCTATCTATCTATCTGCATATGTATATGTATATATATGTGTGTGTATATGTATATATATGTGCGTATATGGATATATGTATATATATATATATATATATGTATATATATATATGTATATATATATATATATATATATATATGTATATACGTATATATATGAGAGAAATCCCGAAATTAATTTTTTCCATATTTTTAAATATATGTATATATATGTATATATGCATATATATGTATATATGTAAGCAAATATGTGGATATAGATCTGACAGTATGAAGAAAAATAGGGAAGAACAAAAATCCGAATATGCAAGTATGCTGTTTTAATGTTGTTTCAATGTCGACGTCAGACATTTCGGTCTAGTAGGCCTTCTTCAGGACATAGTTAATAAAACATAATTAAAATTAGACGATAATCAAGTCAAAATGAAAAAAACGATAGATTATTATATATATATATATATATATATATATATATATATATATATATATATATATATATATAGATACATAGATAGATGATGTACAGACAGAGATATAGATAAATAGTTAGATAGATAGATAGATAATGAACAGACTTAGATAGTAACAGATAATGAACAGACTGAGATAGAAAGATAGATAATGAATGTCATTTTGATATATATATATATATATATATATATATATATATATATATATATAGATAGATAATGAACAGACTGCAGATGGCTCTTTATTAGGCCTTCGTCACAATAAGCAAGGAACTCAGAAAAAAAAAAGAACTCACAATTGATCGCTGCATTTAAGCATTGCATTAATATTTAAGCTTATCTTTTAAAAGTTCAATGATAATTCTTCTGTCGTTACTTAATTTATAGCTAATTTGATGTGCGTAGGTCCTTACTTTCGTAAAAACAATTATTTTTATTTTATGGGTAACTTTCGCTGGATTTCGCAATTAATTTCGATTATTCGAAAATTTATTTCCAAGTTATAAAAATTGTTATCATACAAAAAAATTCGTCGCAAAAAAATCACGTACAAAATTCACCGAAATCAATCGCAGTAATGAAAACTTGGGGAATCAATATATTTTTTTTCATCAATATATATATATATATATATATATATATATATATATATATATATATATATAGATATAGATAATGAACAGACTGAGATAGATTTGAATAGGTCAAGATTTTATTGGGAGTAACTACAAATTAGAGTCTAGGTTTGACGAAGCTATTTAATTGCAGGTCTCCATTTTTAGGTTATTAGAAACCTTAATAATGAGCGGGAAGAGAAAAGAGTAATCAGGAGGACGGTAGCGATTGACATTGCATTTAAACTTTTGTAGATTAAAGTTGGCATGAAATCATGGAGCAGGAAGAGAGTTCAACAAGGAAGGCATTAAAGCCACTAAGACACAAGGGGTTACTAGGTGTGGAATAATTAGTAATAGGAATATTAATAATGAGCGGGAAGAGGAAAGAGTAATCAGGACAGTAGAATGATTTTGACATTGCATTTAAATTTTTGCAGATTTAAGTTGGAAGATTTAAGTAAGGGAGTTCCACAAGAAAGGCTGTAAAGCCACTAAGACGCCAAAGGTTATAGGGTATGGCAGAATTAGGAGCAGAATCATTAAAAAGTTATTTAACAGAATAATGAATTATTTTAGAATTTTTTATTTTTTATTTTGAAACAGAATTTATACCACAGCCTGTAATTCAAAGAAATGAAATTCTTTTTCTTCAATTTTTCTTTTAAAATGCATTATATTTTTCAATTTCAATTTCAGAAATGGAAAGATGAAATTTTGGTTTGGGACCCGGAGTTATATGGTGGAATCAAAAATGTTTACATAGACTCAAATAAAATTTGGATTCCAGATATTACGTTCATCTATCTATCTATACATCTATCTATCTAATTATATTATCTAGAAATCTATCTATCTATCTATCTATCTATCTATCTATCTATATCTATCTATCTATCTATCTTTCATCTATTTCTATCTATCTATCTATCTATCTATCTCTGTTTATTCATATCCTCTCTTTATCTATCTATCTATCTATCTATCTATCTATCTATCTATCTATCTATCTCTTTCTTTACATCCTACTCTCTCTTTCTCTCTGTATATAGAGTGCGATGCATAAACCCTCGTCAAAATTACACAAAATTAAAAATAACCTCGACATGCCATTCAGAGAGCAAAAACTTGTCATTGTATTATAATAATGTTATATAGAAATAAAGTGTCGCTGCTGATACTGGAGTTTGAACAGAGAGCAAACACAGGCGATCCCATTTTGAATAAGTAGATCACGTGATGGTAAATGAAATGTATATATGGGAATTAGCATGGCGTCTAAGTATTCAATATACAGATCACTATTCGGGTCACTATACAGATATTCGGTGGTTACTTTTTGAGCGAGTATTATTGATCAAATACTATTAGCACGAGTGTTATTCTAAGGCGTCTGACACCAGTATTGTTCAACGGCGTTACTATAGTTGTATCTGCGATTGCAAAGTCTCTACTATAACGAGCATTACGAAAGTGACAACGAGGATGTGTTGGCATCACAATATATATATATATATATATATTGCCAGTGAGTAAAAACAGGGGATCCCAATATTGAATTAAGTAACCATAGAAGAAACGCATATAAATAGGAAGTCACGTGACGACTACATGATAGATATTCCTACTCTATACTATATTACTATTCGGAGCGCTATTCTCTACTCTATTCATTATACTATTTCTCTATTCGGATCACTATACAGATTACTATTCGAGCGAGTATTATCGATCAAGTACTATTAGTACGAGTGATATTCGAAGGCGTCTGACACCAGTATTGTTCAACGGCGTTATTATAGTTGTATCTGCGATTAAAAAGTCTCTACTACAACGAGCATTACGAAAGTGACAACAAGTATTCGTTGGCATTACAAAAGTGACAACTAGTATTTCTTGACATTACAAGAGTGGCAACGAGTGTTTGTTGGTATCACAAAACTAATCATCTCAATTTTAATCTAATAATAATAATAATAATATAAATTCCCAACATCATTAAAAGAAAATAAATAAAACAATACAAAAATTAATAATATAAAAATAAATTAAAAAATAAATCAAAGTATAAATAAAAACAAATTTAATGGACTGTATATATTTGTTCCATATAATTTCCGTTGATTAAATAGGTCAATGTCTGATCCTTACCCCCTTTTTCTTAACACTATGTACTGTAATAAAAATAAATTTTAAAACTCTCCCTTCCCTCTCTAAACAACCATTATTTTTTTCACCGGGCTCTATGTCACCTTATATAAGCTTAATACTACCCTTCAAGAGTGTAAATTTTAAATTCGTTTTTCTTTTCAACTTTGAAAGTGAAGTCTGAAGATTCAGAGGAAAAATAAAATTCTCTGGTGAAATAAATTATAACTAATGGAGCTTTATAGTGCTCTGTTTTTCTTTAAATTAAATTATTCGCTCTGACTTAACATTGAAGTATTTCATTGGCATTATCCATACCGAATTACAAAGATTTTGTTTGTTATATATATATATAATATATATATATATATATATTTTAAACTGCAATCAATTTACAAATAATGAATTATTAACAAAAACTAATGCAAAGGTTAATGATTTAAACATCAATAAAATCCATCTCGCAAAAATAAATAAAAAAAATATGAAAAATTAATAATATAAAATTAAATTTATTTTTAAATCAAAGCTTTTATAAATAAAAAAAGAAATCTTAAAGGTATATATAGATTTGTTCCATATTTTTTCTGTTGATTAAATAAGAGGACATCGAAAATATATGATTCTTGTATCCGAAATGCTATTGAATATGAGATATTGGTTTTAACGCGCCAAAAATGAAAAAAAAATTTTTAAAAGTGTTTGCGTTTATCAAAATGGTAATCGAACAAATTATTTTACTGGTAAATTTTACTGTCAAAGTGGCATGAACTATATTGTTCAATAATTACAGTAATGTCGCACTTTTAACCAAAAATTTTAAATTCAGTTTTTTTTTTCACCTTTGAAAGTGAAGTCTGATGATCCAGAGAAAAATAAAATTCTCTGGCAGAAATAAATATAAACTAATGGATTCATTCAAAGTGGTCTGTTTTTCTTCAAATTAAATTATTTGAATTGTTTAACATTGGATGTCTCTCAGGATTTAACTCTTGCATTGGGATTTTCCATGAATTTTCATGTATATATATATATATATATATATATATGAGCTCATCCCATAAGTTTTGTCCGAATTTTAACTTTTTGTTAAAATGAACGAAACTTAAAGAGTATTTTATAATGTCTAATGGAATTGAACATTATCTTTATGTTTAGATGCATTTAAATTGATTAAATTTTATTACAGACAACAATAAATTTAAATTTTGTTTGATTAAAACCCTGCTAACATGGAAGTACCCAAGAATCATTTGAAGCACATAATGCTTTATGAGTTCAAGAAAGGAAACTTAGCAGCCGAAGCAGCGAGAAACATTCACTCAGTTTATGGAGAGGAATGTGTGAATGAAAGAACTTGCAGAAGATTGTTTGCAAAACTCAGAGGTGGAGATTTAACCCTTGAAGATGAAAATCGAACCGGACGTCCAGTTGAGTTTGATGAAAAGCTTCTTGAAGCAGCCCTTGAAGAAAATCCTGCTTTATCAGTTGAGGAATTGGCAGTGGTTCTCAGTTCAAACCATACAACTGTTCATCGTCATCTTCAGCAACTTGGAAAAGTTCCTAAACTTGGAAATTTTGTGCCTCATGAATTGTCTGAAAACAACCTCAAATCCCGAGTTGACATCTGCTCTTCTCTCCATTCTCGCCAACTTGTTTCACCTTTTTTGAATAGACTTGTGACTGGCAACGAAAAATGGATATTTTATCGAAATGTTAAGCGTCATAGACAGTGGCTTGGTAAAGGGGAAAGACCCCAGCCACAGCCGAGAAGGGAACTTCATGGGCAAAAGGTTCTTCTTTCAATCTGGTGGGATCGCCAAGGAATAATCTACTTTGAATTCTTACCACCTCATGCAACAATTAATGCTCAAATATACTGTCAGCAATTAGAGCGTTTGAACCAAGATTTGAGGAAAAAAAGACCTGCTCTAGTGAATCGAAAAGTGGTGATGTTTCACCAGGACAATGCGCGACCCCACACAGCAGGAATCACGTCACAAAAGATCGAAGAACTTGGGAGAAAATTCCTCATCCACCATATTCTCCCGATCTTGCTCCTTCAGACTACCATTTGTTTCGTAGCTTACAGAATCATTTGGAAGAAACAGCTTTTGTAAGACAGGAAGAGGTTAAAACTGACATTTGTGAGTTCTTCGAATCAAAGCCTAAAGAATTTTACAGTAATGGAATTAGTAAGCTTGTTAATAGATGGAAGGAAGTCATAGATAATCAGGGAAAATACATTGTTGATTGCATCTGTAATTAATTGTAACATTTGGTCACTTGTTTTCTTTATTCAAAATTCGGACAGAACTTATGGGATGACCTGATAAATATATATGATATATATATATATATATATATATATATATATATATATATATATATATATATATATGTATGTATGTATGTATTACTCTGTCGATTTTATCTGTTTCACCTGGTTTCTGTTTGTCTCTATTTGTCTAGGGCCATTGACGTTGATGTCAAACGCGGCCAAGGTACCGCTGTCATCCATTACGACGGAAGTGTCATTTTCGTTCGAACTGTAAGTAAAATTTGAAAACTTTTCCAGAATATTCTAAGAAAAAAACATTTGAGTTTTAACTACATTACAGAGATAAAATAAATTGCATTATTAAAATGTTTATTAAAACAAGAGCTTACGTGCATCAATTTTTCAGATGTCGTTACGAAACAAAATTTTTGAAATTGCTTCTAATTTATAACAACTGATATGAAATCTTCAAGCTGAGGGTTTTGGACATTGAAACTCATAACTAAACTATTAATGGATCTGTGGGCAGTCATGTAACTTGCATCAGTAAATTTATTATGTTAATTTCAATTATGAAACTGCTTTGTAATTTTCGAGTAAATTTTTAACTATTAAAAGATCTGTGGGTAGTATTTCACTAAGTTTTGTTTAGTCTGTTACAATGACACAAGGCATTTACAAACTTTGCTTAGATTTGTACAAATCAAGAAATCCCTTACAACTTTTTCTAGAGTGGCCACCTAAATCCAGACCTGCTATAACGCTGCTTAACTTATATATCCAGACCAGTTTGAATCAGTACTGAATTAACTAAAGATCTATCTATCTATCTATCTATCTATCTATCTATCTATCTATCTATCTGAATTACATAAAACTAAAATGTATCTATCCATTCTGAATTACATAAAACCCAAATGAACCGGGATATTCGGATTTTGGGGATGTTTTTAAAACGTTTTTTTTGTTTTTTAAAACGTTTGTTAAAAAAATAAATTTTAATTTTTTTTAAAACATTGGAAAAATAAAAATTTAAAAAAAGGAAAGAAAGAAAGAAGAAAAAAGAGGAGAAAAAGAGGAACAAACAACAAATAAGGGAAATGGTATTTAATAGGGAGAGAGAGAAAAAAGAAACATTAAGGTAGTGTGAGTGGGAGGAACAGAAAGACAGAAGTTAAAAACGGTTGAAGATTAACAATGACCTATATTTAAAATATTAACACTTGTTCAAATGAGAAAAAATTACATAAGAAAATGTAAACATAAAAGTAAAGAAAAAGAAGAGTTTTAAATATTTAGAGAAAGTAAAATTTAAAATTAATACCATTATATAATTTTAATATTATATAAAAATTATTATTAATAATTTTAATTTTAATAACTCATATGAAATTATTATATACTTATATTAAATTATTATTAAGAAAAAATTATTATTAAAAAAATTATTTACTTATTAAATTATAAATAATAATCTATTTATAATTACTTATTTAAAAAATTTATCTAATATGATTATATATTCTTTTTAATTTATTATTAAATTAATATTAATCTATTCACATATATATTTAATTACTTAGTAAAATATTTGAATATTAAATTATGAATTTATAATAATTTATATTAATTATTATAATAAATATTAATATATTATACATTTATATTAAAATATTTAAATTTTAGATTTATATTCATATTTCATATTTATATCATATATATATATTAATAATTTTAAAATTATATTAAAGATTATTATTTAATTCCAATATGATAAAAAGGGATTTAATATTATAATAAAATTATTTTTAGGCATGTAAATACGCACGAACGACCTCTGTTGTAATTAATTCTAAATTAACCGTTAAAGCTATGGGTTTTTTTTTCATGTTTTTCATCTAAGGGAGGTAACTTTAATTTATGTAATTATTAAGCCTATTAAAAAATTGTTGCTATATTCATAACTAAAATTATTTAGTGTTTGTTGTTTGTTCCATATATAGGGGGCCTCGATATGATGCCTTTGTTGAAAATTTTTTTTTTATTATTATTGCAGAGCCTGTCAAAAGTTAAATGTGACTTCGACTCGCTTAAATTTCCTTTCGATAAAGTCAAGTGTCGACTGGCGTATGGTTCTTGGGTTTACTCTGGTGAAAAAATCAATCTAACACTTTTTGAAAAACCTGGATATGACGAGAAATATGAGCCAGATCCAATGTGGGATCTTAAGAAGACAAACGCAGAAAGGAAAAGGAAATTTTACCCATGCTGTCCAGAACCATACGACACTGTTGAATATAACTGCGAGTTCCGTCGCCGGTCATCCCAGTACGTTCACGTTGTACTTGTTCCGCTTTTTCTTTTATCAGTTCTAACTATTTTACTCTTCATGCTGCCGACTCACAGCTCCGAAAGAGTAACTCTCGGTAAGTCGTTATCTATACTTTATCATGTACAACATGTTCCAACATTATATGCAAATTGAATTGTTTTCCTATAATGATGGAAACGTTTTGTTTTCATTTTCTTAACACGATCAGCACATTAGATATACATATATAACAATATACATATTTTATGCTGTATTTGTAATATGAATTAATATTTTATTTCATTTATTATGTTATATTATTATTAAAGTAACAAAGAAAATCTTTGTTAATATGTCGGCATCGAGCCACTATTTCATTCATCTTATTTAATAATTTGATTATTAAAAATTAATATTGACAATTTTTTTCTAAACACAGTCTACAGGTTCCTATTGGTAATATTATATGGAGTACTTTCTCTCTTTCTCTCTCTCTATCTATATATATATATATATATATATATATATATATATATATATATATATATATATATATATATAGCCTACACCGGGGTTGAAAAAGGCAGACAACCGGTATCCTCGTCTGCCAAAATAGACTATTCCCCATATGAGGTGATTTTGGATTTTATTGTTTATTATTTATTTGCTTTCTAATAAGAAAAATATTGAACTCTTTTTGTGGATCAGTTTTAATATTTTATAGTACTAGGGACCACTTGGATTATATACCAATGGATTTGTTACCTTTACCGTATATATATATAAATATATATATATATATATATATATATATATATATATATATAATAGATTTTTGTTATAATGGAGTTTATAATATTGTTACAATGGAGGATATAATAAAGGTGTTTATTGATAGGAGAGACAGATCGTGTTTAGTTAAAATACTGGTCAACAACAGAGAATCTAGCATGAAGAGGAGAATTAACTTTAGATATATATATATATATATATATATATATATATATTTATATATATATATTCCAATGAGCTGTTATGTACACTATTTACATTATTCTGACTATCGTCCTCATATTTGTCGCCATATTTATCACAATATTTCGGCAGTTGTACGCTTGGGCCTTCTAGGACACATGGCAAAGTGGATAAAGGCGTTAGTTAGATCCAGTGATAGGACCCAAAGAGTGTGAGTTCAATACCTGGTTAAGGCGGTGGAGAAATTTGAGAGGGGAATTAAGAGGAGATAACTGACATCTATTAGACATGGCACGTGGAACTAGAACAGCCTACCCCAGTGAGCGAAATAAAGGGTTCAGTTCAACATTCCAACCACCTGAAGAAGGCCGGAGCGTACAACGGCCGAAACGTTGTGATAAACATGGCGACAAAGATGACAATAGTCTGAATAATGTAAATATATATATATATATATATATATATATATATATATATATATCAAAAACAAAAAAAATATATATAAAATACTTATTTTTGATATTTATCTATATCCATATATATATATATATATATATATATTATATATATATATATATATATTGATTTAATTAATTATTATTACATTTATTTATTTTAAAATTATATTATTTTATTAAAAAGTAAAAACTTATTTTTAAATTTTTGACAATGTCGGTAAAGAATGGCTATTTTATTTCTTTGATTCAGTAAATTTTTATTTTTTATAAATCTAGTATTTTATAGTTTCTCATGTATGCACAAAGGACATGGGTCATTTAATGACCTACATATTCTAGCTTTTCTTGTTAATTTCCATTTCACTGTAGGTGATTTATTGGTTTCTTTCATGTCATTTAAAAAAGAGCTGTAATATACATACAAATATTTGATATTTAATAATAATAAACAGATATTTTAAATTTTTAAAATAATTTAAGTTAATTTATTATATTTATTTGTTTTCTCCGTCCTTGTCTTTATATTTTCCTTAAACACACCTCTTTACACTTATGTTTCTCTCTGTTCCAATTGGGACTTTGAAGTTGAACCATTTTGAAACATGGTAATTCTGAATATGGAAACCATTTTGAAATCAGTTAATAGTTCAATATCAATTTTCAACTAGATTGAAAACTGTTTTGTTAAATAAAATTTCTTTAAGTCTTCGATATCATGTTGGCTGTGAGGATATTTTTGGGAGAAAAAAAATAAAAATTTGCCTTTATATATATATACGTCGCATTGAATATTTTCTTTCTGATTGGTTAACCTTTCCTGAACTATAAGATGAGTAATAAATTTTGGCTAGCTCACTAGTACATAAATACAAAAACTGCACTTAGCACCTTGCTTGATTCTTAAAAATCTGTTGTATGTTTAAAAAAAAATATGTATATATATATATATATATATATATATTTATATATATATATATATATATATATGTAGATGTTGTATATATCAAAGATTTTAAATTCATAGTCTGACACTTGTTGGTTGTCTAATGGATTTCACAAATATTTTTTTTCTTTTTGTTTCAGGTATTTTGTTATTTTGTGCTTTCTTCACTACGCTTCTTTACACATCTTCTCTGATACCAGAATGGAAAAATTTGCCATATTTAGGTAAGTAGATACAAGGGTGAGTAAAAAAAAGCAGTTTGTTTTATTGTCTAAGAAAACAGGAAAACAATCAAACATATCCTACGTCAAGATATTGCTATACATCACAGGTTCACATTCCTACTTCTAAATATAGTTACCCAGGGCTGGAGCAATCTATGTGTTATATAGGAATAAATGTCGCTACCTACACTCGGGTTTGAACATAGATCTCCAGTGAGCACGCGAAGCATGAATTTAGTTATTTTCCATTATTGAATTATGGATTCCAGAATGGAAAAATTGCACAAATATTTAAACAACGTCAGAAATTGAGATAGAAAAATAAGTGTATGTAAAGAAAAAGAATACAGACTTGAAGGGAAGATTAGTAGTCTAGGAATGCGGGTTTCATTCTAAATTTTAAATCATAGTTCTCTCTATCTCTCTGAGAACACCTTATGTCTGTCTCCGGATCTATAAAGGCTTGTTTCAACGTATCTCCACGTATCTCAATGTGTCTCAACAGCAGGTATTCTCTCTGTCACTATAAGTATCCCATTTGGACGAGTCCATCTAGAGAAAATGTCAAAATGTATTATCAACAATTTCTATTTTATCCTCTATTACTATAAGGACCGCTATTCTCTACTCTGTCCACTATACTATTTCTGTATTCGGTGGTTACTTTTCAATCGAGTATTATTGAGCAAGTACGGCGACTGTTATTCGAAGGCGTCTGACACCGTATTGTTCAACAAGTTGTATCTGCGATTACAAAGTCTCTACTACAACGAGCATTACGAAAGGGAAAACGAGTATTCGTTGACAGCACAAAAGTGGCAACGAGTGTTCGTTAACATCCCCATGATTCTACAAAATCTCAATTTTCATAAGCTTGTATTTATATAAAATACAAGATTTTTTTGTAATCTAATTATGTACAAAAATGGATTAGATGAAAAATAGGCGAACAATTCAACTAGAAAATATCTGCCTATATCTCTGAGATGAGTTATTATGTTTACTTACATTATTTATATTATATGTAAATAACCAATTTGGACTTAGGGTATACAAACGCCAGACAACCGGAAGGTATATAAACGTCCCACTCACAAGGAGAAAGACGAATGCTTTAAGGAGATCGACCGTTTGGAGAAAGACTTCAAACCACATACCGTTGATCCAGCCAAGGTCAATGTGATAATGTCAGGCGTGAATAATCAATTGCTTTGCGTAAGAAATGTTTCGTCTCCTGTTCTTATCAAGCGTCACACAAATTGGGTTACATTATTCAGGCTGTTATCCTCATCTGCATTGCCATATTCACAACGTTTCGGCCGTTGTACGCTCCGGCCTTCTTCAGGTGATTGGAATTTCGGACGAACCCTTTATTTCGTCCACCGCAGTAGATTATTCTAGTTCCACGTGTCATGCCCCTTTCGGATGACTCAGTTATTTCCCTTTAACTTGGCTCTTTCTGCTGTGGCCTGGTATTAAACTCACAACACTTTGGGTCAAATCACTGGATCTAACCAACGACTTTATCCATTGGGCCATGTGTCCTTGAGGAGATCTGTTTACGAATTTTGGGGGGCTTATAACCATAATGTCTCAGCAAGTGTTTTTTTTTAACCAGTGCTTATTTTGCAATTATTAATATTACTTTTTTTTTACTAGAGCCGTAGTAAGAATTACAAAGGAAAAACAGTCCGCCCCCTCTTTTAAGTTAGAACATCAAAAAGTAGTAACCAGAGGGAAAAATAGAAAAATCAGGCGTAGACGACAACATATGGAGAGAAAAGGGAGATCTCCCCTCCCTGTGGGATGAGGTTGAAATAACAGACAGAGAGCATCATTGGAAAATACGAAAACTTAAGAAATCAGCAATATTTTTTACCACTTCTCATATTGCAATTTTTGTTATTAATATTCCATTTTTTACCAGAACTTATATTGCAATTTTTTGTTGTTATTCATTGCTTTTCTCTAGCACTCTTTATTACTGGTTCCCATATTGTATTCATTTCTATGCTTGGTCGGCTCAGGAGATTTTTATGGCCTAGCATATGTGCTGATTTCTTAAGTTTTCGTATTTTCCACTGATGCTCTCTGTCTATTATTTCAATCTCATCCCATAAGTAATCAACTAGAAAAATTGAAAATAAACACATTGATAAAGATATTAGCAGAAATATCTGGCTTTTATGTGTCCTAGATTGAATAACACTAATTGAAAATTCCCTTTTCAGGCAAGATTTCGAACTGGAGATTTTAATGGAGTTTAAATACGTATTTACGAGGAGTAATCAAATAAATAATAAATAATGCAATTTGTTTTATTGTATAGGAAATAAATAACACAATCAAAACATATCTTACATCAAGATCTAGCTATATATATATATATATATATATATATATATATATATATATATATATATATATATATTATGAAATGGACAATGTGTGACAATTATTTTAAGACATTTTTTATGTTTAAAATAATTATCGGACTTTGTCCATATCATAATATGTGATGTCATTTGTTTACATTTGGATACGCATCGAGCAGATATGAATGTACGAGAGAAAATCATGGAGAACTGTAGTTTAAAAACAGTAAAATCAACCTTGCTAATCGAAACGCCTCTCTGTAACTAAATCGGTAAAGCACGTCAGAAAGAAAGAAAGAAAAAAGAAAAAGATGACGAAAAGAAGATAGGTAACAAGTAGATCCGAATAAGAAGAAAAAAAGGAAAAGGAAAAAGATGAAGAAAATAAGAAAGTTAACAGAAAAGAAAGAAAGAAAGAAAGACAGAAAATGAAAGAAAGATGAAGAAAAGAAGATAGATAACATGTAGAACGGAATAGGAAGAAAAGAGGAAAAGAAAAAAGATGAAGACAATTTCTCTTTAACAGAATAGAAAGAAAGAAATAAAGAAAGAAAGAAAAAGAAAGATGAAGAAAAGAAGAAAGTTAACAGAATAAAAAGAAAGAAAGAAAGAAAAAAGATGAAAAAGAAAGATTTCTTAAAGAAGAAAGAAAGAACGTTTCGGTCGAAGAAAATGAAAGAAAGATGAAGAAAAGAGGAACTGAACCTCTTTAGAACGGAATAGGAAGAAAAAAGGAAAAGAAAAAAGATGAAGAAAAGAAGAAAGTTAAGAGAAAAGAAAGAAAGAAAAAGAAAATAAAAAAGATATTGAAAATCGGGTAGAACCGTATCAAAAGAAAAAAGCAAAGAAAGAAAGATTGAAAGGTAACATGGTCTATATATATATAAAGAAATTTTAAAAGAAAATGAAAAAAGAAGAAATAATAAGTAGAAGGATAAAATTTCAAACAGAGATCAAAATATATTCCAAAATATAACTTCAACTTTTTTAAACACATCATGAGCACCTCTTTAAATTATATCCACACAAATATATATGCACAAAAGCTGAGTATCATCTACCATGTATTGGGTTTGTGAAAGCAAAAATAACATATTTTTATTATACCTGGTGGGGATGAAGAAAATTGAATTTCGGCATTAAATGACCCATAAAGGAGTTGATATGCCGTTTTTTAAATCTTTTTAGTTTTCTTATTTTTTTTTTTTTTTCTTTCTTCTCTGTTAGTTTTTTTCCTTTCTTTTTTTACCTGAATTAATTCATTACGTTATCTATTTGTGCTTTTTTTTTTTTCCAGTGATCTACCTGATCTTCAACTTGGTTTTGATCACCGTCTTCACATTCCTCAATTCTCTGATCATTCGTCTCTCAAATTCCGAGAAAGGCCGAGAGGTACCGAAGATCCTACGCGTCGTAAGTAATATATATATATATATATATATATATATATATATATATATATATATATATATATATAATATATTTATGTTATAATTTTTTTAAAAATAAATAATTATATCTACTAAACTCAGTATTGAGCACTCTTTTAAGAATAGTAATTGTTGGTTATTGGAATTCATTGTATAAACCAATTATATCATATATATATATATATATATATATATATATATATATATATTTATTTACAGGAAAAATAGAAAAATTACCTCAACTATTTCCATTCAGTGCAAGGCTATCATTTAATGGATGAAGGAGCATTGTTTTAAATTTATTTTCAATGTTTCCTCCTCTGGTAGATGCCTTTATGATGAGAATGGAAAAATTAAGAGGATAGAATAATATTAGAGTTTATTATTAACCAGAATCTTTCGTTGTTTCATAAGTCTATGTTCCTGTTCTGTCACATTATACCCCCGAATTATTTTTTTTTCTGGGATTCGCAGTAAATAGGTTTTATACTACAGGTGCTCAATATTGTTAATAAGCGATGGGGATATAAATTTAAATCTGTTAAGATTAATGTAAATTAGTTGAGTTATAGATTTATAGATTGTGGGTAATACCAGAGGACCAAATGGATTAAACCATGGTGTCCAACACACTTATATGCGTACATATCTTCATACTTACATATATGTACATTTAGATGTCCATACCATGCCACTATATGCAAACATACACACCCACATATATACAAATATATTCTTATGTAATTTGGAATTTATTTCTATGTCTACATTTCGTGATTAGTTCTCTCCCTTGGTTTAATAGTTTGCATTTATCTTTAAATTTAGTTATCCTGATTTATTTAGCTGAGGAAAAAATCACCTATCCAAACTATTACGAAATCTAGAATTTTCAATTTATTTGAGGATTCAGAGACTTTTCCTTCAATTCCCAAAATTCTTTCCAAAGGCTGTTTGGTATTTTAATTTTGGATTGGTGAGTAACGCGCACAGAACAGCTTGAAATAGACTATCTCTATGTTGAGGTAATTTTTGAGCAAAAAATACATATGCTCTTTGAAAAAAAAAATATCGAGCTCTCTGTGGATAAGTTTTAATAATTTATTAAATTCATAGGACCCCGGATTTTATAACAACGTATCGATTGCCTGTAATATAAATATATATATATATATATATATATATGATATGAATAGTGTGTGTGTGTGTGTGTGTGTGTGTGTGTGTGTGTGTGTGTATTTAATCATTTCAACCTTCCAGGAATTAATCTGAAAGTGGCTAGTGAATGTGAAAACTATAAAGCAAAAGAAAAATGTTGTTATCAAAGAGATGATTTTAATAATATTAATTACAAGAAATTGTTACATTTAAAAGAATTTATAGTTACATCTAGTTATTCCAACTGTAAAACGATGAGACCTAGCCGCCAATCTAGTACTGCGCTTAAATTCATAAAGTCCAGCTGCCAAAGAAGAAAGGTCATCAGAACGATTACCATGAAAGCATTTATAGAGAAGGTAATGGTCATCCATTAATTTTTGATAAATTTGATTTCCTGTTGGTTTTTTCCTTATGATGTTTCCAATCTGAATTATTTTATTCAAAGACATTCAATCAATCCCCGTTCTTTCTTTTCAGTTTAGCTTGATGCATTTTTTCTTTATAATCTTTCTTTCTTCATCTGCATTCTTTCTTTCTTTCTTTCTATTTGGATTGATTTGTTACCTTCTTTTCATCTTTCTTTTTATATTTCTTTCTTTCTTTCTTTGTATTTGGATTGATTTGTTATCTTCTTTTCTTTCTTTTTTCTTTCTTTCTTTCTTTCTTTCTTTCTTTCTATTTGGATTGATTTGTTACCTTCTTTTCATCTTTCTTTTTATATTTCTTTCTTTCTTTCTTTGTATTTGGATTGATTTGTTATCTTCTTTTCATCTTTCTTTCTTTCTTTCTTTCTTTCTTTCTTTCTTTCTTTCTTTCTTTCTTTCTTTCTTTCTACTTGTTTCCTTTAGACTTTCCAGTCTCTCCTCCCTCCTATGAACATCCTTATTTTCTTTTTTTTTTTTTTTATTCGGGCCGACTTGTTGCCTGCTTTCTTTCCAATTTCTCTTTCTTCGTCTAGTCCTTCACCTTTCTTTCTTTCTTTCTTTCTTTCTTTCTTTCTTTTTCTTTCTTTCTTTCTTTCTTTCTTTCTTTGTATTTGGATTGATTTGTTATCTTCTTTTCTTCTTCCTTTCTTTCTTTTTTTATTTTTATTCGGGCTGACTTGTTGCCTTCTTTCTTTCCAATTTTTCTTTCATCATCTAGCCCTTCACCTTTCTTTCTTTCTTTCTTTCTTTCTTTCTTTCTTTCTTTCTATTTGGTTCTACTTGTTACTTTTCTTTCTTTCTTTCTTTCTTTGTTTCTTTCTTTCTCTCACCCCAAGCAAGGCAATAAAGCCATTAAAACACAAAGGGTTACATCCTGTTAGAAAATAGACACTGTTATGGAGAGTGAACAATAAAAAGAACAACAATTAAGAAGACAGGAATAGCACACACACACACACACACACACACACACACACACACATATATATATATATATGTTAAAGCATTATTAAGGAGAGAGAACAATAAAAGAACGGGAATTATGAAAACAGAAGATTGACAGTGAATTTCAATTTTTGAATATCATTCAAATTTAAATTCAAATCAATAAAGTCACTAAGATGCAAAGGGTTATTGAATGTTAGAGAATATGAAAAAAATTACTATTGAGGAGAGAGGACAATAAAAGAACAAGAATTAAGAAGACAGAAGATAACGATTGAAATTTCATTTCAAATTTTGAAGGTCAAATTTGACTGAAGAGGAAGAAGGGAGTTCCGTAAGCGAGAAATGCAATAGAAGAATCTATTAGCATAGAACTTACGGTTTACATCTAAACAAATTCCGATAAAATTTAATATCTTATTTTTAAATGTTTATTTTGTTTTCAGCATTTTATTCTTTTTTTAATAGGTATTTAAAAAAAATCGTTTTATTTATATGTATATATTTATATGTATATATGTATATATTGATTTGTATATAATTTCAGATAATGTTCGAATTCTTTGCGCGGATATTTTGTATGAAGTCAATCGTTAATAGGAACCGATCGCGCCATCTTGTGGCTCCTGAATACGAATTTCATGCAAACCAGGACAATTCCTCCAAACTGTCTATGTCCAACGAGAAAGAGCCGTTAGATCCGACTTCGAAAGAAGACCCGATTGACAATTTTCCTGATGTTCCTTTGCCACAAAATGGAAAACAAAGTTTTGAAACTGATGTGGCTTTTATTCGTGCTTTCACCCGACGTTCCTGGCAAAAGATGAAGAATGGTGATTGGGAGACGAAACTTTTCAGGGAATGGAAAGATGTAGCCAAAGTTGCGAATAGACTTTTTTTCCTCATTTATCTACCAGTCGTACTCATTGCTATTGGTATTGTTTTTATTCAGATTTCCGAAAATTAGTTTTGCAAACCGCGACTAAAATTTGGCACCGAATGGCTACAAGATTTTTTCAGCGAGTTTTTGATATATCTGTTTTAATCAATGGTAAAAAAAAAAAAAATCTTAAACGTACCTATCTAATTTTTAAACCATTTTATCTAACCTCTTTGAAAATATACGCGTGTCTCTAATATATGAGTTGACCCCTTTTCCTGTCAAAATCAAAGGCAAAACTTTATTAAAGAAATGGAAAGAAAACTATAATTAATTTGGGGGAATTTTTCTAAATTTAACGATGAATAACATTTGTAAGAAAGCAATAATAATATTAATAATAATATTAATAATTTCAAATAAATTCATACTTATTTATATTTTAAAGAAATGATTTAATAAAATAATTTTTAACCAATTTACCCACGTAAGACAATAATGCCAGTAAAACGCAAGGATTTACTGAGAGTGAAAGAGAATGAGAAGATTTTAGAAGGAACCGGATAACCAATCCTAAGCAGGAAATAAGGAATAATCCTGTATTATTCAAAAGACAGGGGAGGAGTGTAAACAAGGCGATATGTGAATCTATCTACTTTTATTGAGGAAAATAAAATAATAAATAGCAAATAAGATTGCTGGGTTTAGGAGGAGATGTTAGAAGTCTAGAGTTGAAGTAGACTTTAGAAGGAACCAAAAACCCAAACCTAAACAGGAAACAAGGAATAAATTTCTATTCATTTTCCAAATACCGGGGAGGACGTGAACCGGGCGATAGGCGAACCTATCAAGGTTTATTGGAAAATGAAATAGTAAATAAATTTTCTCGAACGATATAAAATATAAACATTTAATTTGAAGTTATATATCAAGAAAAATTCTTAAATTGACAAAAAACTATTTTAAGTAAAATTACTTAAAATAACACTTCTTATTTTCTCTGTATTGCTTTATGCTTACGTATATCAAAACATGCAATGCATATATATTTGTTTTTTCGTTTATAAATACTGGTTTCAAAATAAAATCCTTACATTTTCATTAATAAAGTCCATTAGAAGATGAAACGGCTAAGATAAATTTTCCTTTTTTTATATATATATATATATATATATATATATATATATATATATATATATATATATATATATATATATATAAACAAGCTTTGCTGAATTCAGCCACCAAGGTTGTGTCTGTTCAACTCTTCAATGGATTTCTCAAACAAACGGACAAGATGCTATACTACGGGACCCAAGCCGTCGACAACTCGTGGAATTTCATTCTTGCTTCCTGTTGTTCAAACACCCCTGACCGTCCTCGTCATCACCAAGAACTGGGTACCACCATCACGGTATACAAGGCTCATGTCGGCTGCCTTATGCCAACTCTACAGTGTTTAAATTTGAGCCAATCCAAAGTGATGGCTTAGGCAAAAAAAAAATGTCACCGGAAAAATGCATGCGTCGAATATGGTATCTATCATCACTAGTTTGCATGCATCTCGAATATTCCACAGACATCTGAAGAAAGAGATCTTTGTTTGAGAATGAAGAATGGAACGAGTCTTTGTAGAGATGTCCACCATAGCTACAAATAAAAGATGGCGTTAGAACAGATAAAGAATAAGGTATGATTCAGAATTGTTGTAAATAAAAGGAAAATAAAACATTCTTTCATATTCCGATTTTGTTTTTCATCTCACAATCATTAATAATATTTATCTTGGAACGTGTATTATGATCCAAATTATTAAATTGCTTTAAAATTTTATTATCGTGTAACTTTTTAATCTTCTCAAGATTATTGGTGCAGTTATAACTTACTTTTAATGTGTTTCTGTTAAATATTTTACTAAAAGGGTTACTTTTAGGAAAAAGTTTATCAAAGTTTGTGATGGGAATTTTTTTAACAAAATTCCAAATGTTTGTGATGGGAATGGTAATTAATTGATTTAAAATATGGTTATTTTCGCTAACACAAAAAAAACCATGTTTTAAAAATAGAAGTTTAAAACTTCTATTTTTAAAACATGGTTTTTTAGCGAAAATAACCATATTTTAAATCAATTAATATTATATATATATATATATATATATATATATATATATATATATATATATATATATATATATATAGTTAAATTCCCAGATCATTTCTGTGAAAAGACAAAGTTGGTAATTGGAAAAATATCGTAGTTTTTTCCAATTGTTATCTTATACCAGTATAATTGCAGTATAAACCACAGGTGGGCTCTGTGGGTGTTGAATAAGCACAAATGCACCTGAGCAAGCGTCTGCAATAGGGATTGGCTAGCCGCCCTAGTAGACGGGTATCCCTGAATACGTGTGGCCAATAATACTATATATGTGTGTACAACTATTTTAAAATGGATACATTTTTAATTAATTTCAACCCAATAAGAACCATTCAGGGTAGAGGGTTACTTTGTAGAGTTTTAAGAAAGATGTGAATTCCTTGCACTTACACAGGAAAGATAAAGGCTAACTCAAAAACCTGATGAAGTCAAGATTTGAGTATTGGATAACGTTCAGTGAGAGACGTTAAAAGTATATTGTGGAAGTAAATTTTAGAAGGGGCCAGATACTCAATCCTAAAGAGGAAACAAGAGATAAACCTCTACTCCTGTTCAAAAGATCGGAGAAGAGTATTAACCAGACGATTGGAAGTGGGGGACTATCTAATCCTCCATCTATTATTGTTATTATCATCTACATACCGGTAATCGTTTAAAAGCAAAATTGTCCAATTGTTAGTTTAAGCTCTGAACTATTGTATCTTGGAAATGATTAAAAATATCTTACTGGAATTCTTCGAGGTTTGTATAACACTATTGAACTCTACTTTGAGTAAAAAGAATGTATAATTAATCTCCAAGCCTAACAGAAAAATCGTGATAAACGTCATAAACGAAAATGACATGTTTATCATTAATTAATCATAGCTAAGGATCGGAAACTCATGAAGGATAGAAATAAAGCTCATATATATATATATATATATATATATATATATATATATATATATATATATATATATATATATAATTCCAGGATCATTTTCTAAACTATTCAAGATGATCTTCACCCTCTCTAACCTTCTAACTTTCTGTCCTAGAGTAACAAGGTGCCTCTCACGTGCGATTTCATTTTCAAGTCTTTTTTCACTGATCTTTGGACTGTCATTGATGAAACTCCTCTTTTACGTGCCAAACGTCATACGGATTAGAGTGGATCTTTTCTGATTGATCTCTTTGGATCTAAGTTGAAACGATGATCCCTCTTCCTGTTGTGACCTCCTGATCCAGTTTTCCTCTTTACTGTTCCCTCTTTTTTAAACTTATTCACCATTCTCTTGATGGTTCTTGAATGAACTTTCGAAGCCAGTGTATGAACGTTGGTACCATTACTGAAGGCCTGAATAATCTTTTTCCTTTCACCATTGCTCAGTTGGGAAGACGTAGTGGGGCTGACAGAAAATGATTTTAACTAGTTCTCTAATTGAATATCTCGAAGGATTTTTCATGATTCGTATGGTAAATGGTGTCAAGATGGCTAAACGTCTTATCTGAAAACCTGGAAAAAGGAACTCAATTAGTTTAAACATTTTTTGGGATGGACAGTTATTTAATGTTGTTATACGATTTGGACAATGTGGCTGTTACACCAGGTTATGTGAATTGGGGTCAACTTAATATGGATTAAAATCCGAAAGAATGATTAAATAAGGAAGAAATAGGAAGGGTTTATAAATGTTTCGCTTTAGTTTAAGCTTCATAAGAAAATTTTGGAAATGCATTGTCGAAGAGAAAGTTCTTTTCCTTTTAGTTCTGAGTTACTTGCTTTTTATTGACTAGGTAAATCTCATCTTCGTCTTGAGGTTTTACTGCATTTGCGTGTGTGCGATAATGAAAACGGAAAGGACTCTCATTCGAACTGACAGAAGCATTTATTAACATTACAAAACAATAACTGATACGGAGACATGCGGAAAAGGCATGGCACGTGGAACTAGAACAATCTGCCCTGATGCACGAAATAAAGGGTCCAGTTCGAAATTCCAATCACCTGAAGAAGGCCGGAGAGTACAACTGCCGAAATAGTGAATAGTGTAAATAATTACAATAGAGGACTTGCACAGAATTTCGCTTGTGCATCTGAAGGCAGGTCAAGAGTTCTTCAAAATACAAATTCGTTTTCTCTTAGAAAACATCAGTTCATGAAAAAACAATTCTTTTCTTTAGTAACAAAGGAAAAAAACAAATCAAAGCGAAATTTGTAAAGCAAAAAATGACAGAATATTTCTACGCTATATGAGGTCTGACAAAAAAAAATATCAGGTCTGGTGCTATAAAAAGAAAATTACAACATATCCATTCGGCAATTATCGTATTTGACATCGTATAAGACGCACCCCAATTTCAGCAGGGAAAATCAAGAAAAAATTAGTAATTAGTAAAATTATTAAAATTATTAGTAAATGGTACAGCCTAGGCTATATTTATGGGGTATTATTTTGGTTAAACAAGACAAGATTACAATTAAACGAAAAATAATAGAAAAAAAAGAACACGGGGCCTATAAAAACTTTTTTATATCCAAAAACAAAAAAAAAAAACAAAATAAAAATCAAGCAATTATTACAATTGAGCAAGACAGTACAGTTAGCATTAAAATTTAATTTATTTTTGAGTCAGTTATGTGCCATGAGTGACACACGCTTAGGCGATCATATATCTTTCGATAAATCACTGACGAGGCAGATTTTTCCCGCAGTAGGTTGCCATTTCTTTATGCGGATATTCCGCGGATATAGAACCCGGTCTTATCCATATAAGGTAGGGAGAGAAGATTTCCAAGTGTATTAGCACGTAAGTAAATTTAGGGATTCGACTGGAATTCGAACTCGGCTCTTCAATTCCTCAATCCGAGCCGCTATCCATTACGCCACCGTATACCCATTTTCAACAATGACGTCATCGTCGTTCAATAATGCGTCATCTTCCG